CGATCTACTCCTGTGAAGAGCTGAAGTGTCAGTACCCACAGGGACTGCTCTGCCCTGCCTTATAGGTCACTGTGAGGCGGAATAGAAGGGGCAGCAGCGAGTTTGAAGTCTGGTTAAGCCACACTGAGACGCAGGGAGGAAGTGGGCAGAGTGGTTGTAAGTCAAGCGGGTAGAAACCAAAGTCACAAAGCAAACTGTGTACAAATCACTGAAGGGGACACTCAGAGCTGTGTGAGCTTTTACTCAAATCCCAAGAACACATCCCAAATATCAACCAATCCGTCAATCAAAAAACCACAAGGAATTGGTACAGAAAGACCGTCAATGAAGCTGTAGAAACGGCCAGTCTCTCAAAGGCCTAATCAAATGAATCATGAGGTAGATTGCCTTTTTGTGTCCTCTTCAAAAGCAGCTTCCTGCTTCACAAACTCAGTCAATCTAACAGAGATGAATATTTAATAACACCATTAGTGTAAGGATAAACAGCATAAGACAAGACTTTATACACCACAAGACAAGACTTTAATGACTGTAAGGAGAGACGGGATGGGTGTGGGCTGGGAGGGTGGTATTGGGCTGGAGGAGCGGGAAGAGGGGAGGGAAGGGATGTTGAGTACAGAGTTTGGGAGAGGAGAAAGAGAACCACATACATGGCAAGTTTAACAGGATAGTGTTGATGCCGTCATGTCTTCAGATGGACTGTGTAAGCAAATAGTGTGTTTCCTTAAAAAGAAAGGTGGGGAAAAGGATCCTTCCAGATTCCTTATCCCTCAAACCTACATATTGGTCTGAGTGGCTCAAGAAAAAAAAGAATTGTTATAAGAGCTGTGTGATTGGTTGGTTTATCATGCTGACCTGGCCAACAAGAACATGTGTGATTACTTGGGTTGCAGTTTGATTGGAGGGCAAAGAGATAAATGGTTCTGCAAGGCCCGCCCCCGTCCCCCCCCCTCCCCTTGCTCTCTGGTGATCGGAGGAGTGTGCTGCAAAAGGAGTGCTGCTGCTGGAGCTGGTTTTCTGCCTCCCCCTGTGAGCTACACTACCTGTAGGCCAGGCTAACCCATGGATCATGTCGCTAAAACTTGAGGATCCTTGGAGACCTGCTTCGTCATACTCTTGGTGCCCATCACTTGAGCTTGAGGCTAGTGGATCCTGTCGGCATGCAGTGTTTGCATTTGATATCCCATCAGGGCCTGCTTTGCTAAGCTCCTGAGCTCCTGACAGGTGGTGACCCACCCTACTGTCTGTGGGCAGACTCTGCTTGCCTTGCCCCAAGGAGGACTCTGCTGTCTGCTTCCTTGACCTTGGACCTGGGAGCTCTCATGATTTGAAGGACTTCCAGTCTGTTAACTGTTCCACGGAAGTGAGCTGAACTGAATCCTCTGTACTGCTGTGTGTACTAATTAGCGGATATATTCCTTCTTGCTGTATAAGCCTATCTATCTATAGCTATCTATCTATCTATCTATCTATCTATCTATCTATCTATCTATCTATCTAAATTCATAAGTGTCCTGGTTTCCTTTCTCTAGAGAACCCTGCCTAACACAAGCTATAAAAGCCCCCAATAAAATGATTTATTTAAAAAATAAATTTGGAGGAAAAAAAAGGAAAACTGAAATGAACTGGAGGCATTAGTGACAAGTTCATCTATCAAAAAAATTTTGAAAAATGAAAATGATAGCAGGCCTGTCTGTGTAGTGGTTGATCCCAGAGGATCTCCTCTGCTTCGACATTAACTGGGAGCATTCATGATTCTGAAGATTTAGTACAAGTCTGTTAAGCCTCTGCTAATTCCATTGCCCCATCACCAAGGTTTCTGTACTGGCCTTCTCAGGTGTCTCCTTTGCCTCCTGGAGCTCTTAACTCCACGTGGACCATCTCTGTGTCTTCCCAGAGGAACTGTGTTCTGTGTTCCCCACATTGATTCTCATGAAAAGTGGTTATTGCTTTCTTAAAGCTTCAGAGTGGGAGGCAGGTGCTGGGGCAGATGTAGTCCCAGGTCTCCAGAAGTTGAGCTGAGCCGTAGAAGCGATGGAGGTAAAGCTGAGGGTCAGTGAAAGAGAAGAAGACCCCCCCTTGAGATGGATTGACCCAGTGGTTGCAACAACTAGGCTCACACATATCAAGGATGGTGAGGATGCCCAATCTGCTGTACATGGGCACTCTTGGGGGTGTAGTGGTGACACTGCTAACCACGAGGTCAACAGTTTGAAACCACCAGGTGCTCCGAGGGAGAAATATGAGGCATTCTACTCCGGTAAAAAGTGACCGTCTCAGAAACTCACGAGGCCGTCAATCTTCACGAGAGCAGTAAGTCTCATCTTTCTCCCGAAGAGCAATTGGTGGGTTTGAAACTCCGACCTTATGGTTAACAACCCAACACGTAGCCCACTACACCAGCAGACCTCCTTTAGAAACTCCAGTACCAGGAGACTTAAAGGTTAGCTAGTGACCATCGAAAATTCATGCCTAGATAGGTCTCTCTCCCTTTCCATAGGAAATAAGAGTGAAGAAATCAAAGACCTAAGGAAACAATTAATCCAACTAACGAATGGACCATGTGAGCCACAGCCTCTACTATTCTGAGATCAGAAGAACTAGATGATGCCCTGCTACCACTACCAACCATTCTGACTGGGACCACAGAAGATCCTGGACAGAATGGGAGAAAAATGTATAACAAAATTCAAAATAATAAAAATGACTGCACTGCAGGTGACCAGTATTGTAAAAGAAAATGCACATGAGCTTCACATGAAAAGAAGGCTTTGGGGAGGTCAGGAGGAGTGGAGAGGGAAAAGGAAATGGGAATTGCTATTGCAACACATGATCGGTCAACAACGAAGCTCTAACGCACTCACACATGAGTTTTGCATGCTGAGAGTTCAAGTGCTGGCAGCAGTAATAATTATTACAACCCTGGGAAGGGTTTGCCAAGAACTATAAACATATTCTCTGCCTTTGACCCATTGATTTCCCTTCAAAGATAAAAGGAAATCAAAGGGGGAAAATGTTATCAAAGGGGGAAAAATTAGGTTCTGTGTCGGGCTGGGTTCTCTATAAAAGCAGAAGCATTGGGTTGTATGTGTGTATTTATCGGAAGAGACTTATATCACAAAGAGAGAGAGAAACATATATCAAGAAATCACCCATACAATTGCAGTAGTAGGTAAGTCTCAAATCAAAAAACCAAACTTGCTGCTATCGAGTCAATTCAGAGTCATAGTGACCCTATAGTGACAGGGTAGAACTGCCCCTATGAGTTTCCAAAGACTGTAACCTTTTACGGGAGTAGAAAGCCTCATCTGTCTCCCAGGGAGCGGCTGGTGCTTTCAAATTGCTAACCTTGCAGTTGGAGCCCAGAATGTAACTCACTATGCCACCAGAATTCCTTGGGTAAGTCCAATTTGGTTCAAGTCCACTGCATGTGGACCCAGCATCGGGTTTGTAGAGCCCCCATTGCAGTGCCTGTGGATCTCAGGAATCACCAGTGGACAGCTGACCTCAGATTTGCTCAGCTCTGCATCCACCAGCGTGTGCTCTTCTAGCTTCCTGTCCATCACCAGTCAAGAGAAGCCACTCGCTTATATCTGCCCACAGACTTGAACTGGATCCTAAGTCTTTGAGCGATGGGTCTCTCTCATCGGACGAATAATATTTGTCCTGTTAAGACTTCATACGTGTCTCTATAAATTATACTTGAGTCTGGGGTGGGGTGGGGGACTTTTTCTTCCCTGCAACAATAGAAAAGAAATTTGCTCTGTAAGCTTATACCTAAATGACAATTTTTAAACAAAAGGGAGACAGCTCTTTGAACCACATGTGATAACCCTTCACGAGGAGAACTGGGACCAGGCGGCATTTCGTTCTGTTGTCCAATGGGGCCACCGGCTGTGGGAAACGAACACGGAGGGAAATAGGACGAGGACTGTACTCCTTAACGTATCACAGAGGGAATCTGGAAAGCTGGTTTTCCACGGTAGGAAAGCCTCCACGTTGGTAAGTTAGAGGTAAAGTCCAGGTACATGATCCTGCTTTAAAAGTCTTTCCCAAGGATTCTCCCCCTAACAGCGATGCTGCCTTAAAGTGAGCGCGTGGTTGGTTGTGTCTCCCTACAGAAACAGACATTACCCTTTTGATCGCTGTTCCCTCTGTGCCATCCAACCCCCCTCATATCTTCCCCCAATGCAGGTATTAGGTTTCCTCACCTGTGAGCTTAGGGGCCTTAATGTAGATACCACCCACCTTGTGATGCATGTAACTTCTGAATATGCATGTATTATGGCTACCTATAAATATCCCAAGATAGTAAAGCTTCACTCTCACTTCTCCCAGTTCCACTGCTCCATCAAGAGGAGCTGAGGTGAGCATGCTACCATACAATGTGTCTGACTCCTTTATCTTACTCTCTCTCTCCTATCCTCTATGACTTTACTGTCATCTTTATATGTCACTGCCGTACATCTGTGCCTTCGGGCCCTTTGGGTTGTTGGAGGCTGGTTTCCTCTGACAACTGGTGACTTGAGGACCAATTCCATGGCTGCTCACAGCAAAGGCAAGGGGAATGGGAGAGAGGGTGAAGAAAAGAGTACCTTAGTTCTATCAGGAGTGGGCAAGAGGAGCAGAAGTGAGGATGTTGCTGTTAGGTGGCCTCTTGTGTCACTTCCAGCTCACAGCTCCCCTGGTTTCACAATGCCCCCGCCCCAACTTCCTCCTCTTCAAAGGGTGTTCCGCCCACCTGCCTATTGGTAAGTGGCGGTGGCAGGCAACTCTAGGCTGAGAAATCATTATTTCAACAGAAGGGCTTTCGTCTCTCTCACACACCTACAAACCCCCAGCAGTAGGGAGTAAGCCCCAACCTCTCCTCCTTTCCACCTGTGAATGGGCACACTGGGTACACCCCTCCTCACCCCCCCACCCCAACTTGGACACCACTTAGCAACCTCCTAGTCTCCAGCTTCTCTCTGAAAGGCCCATGCTTCGAACACTGGTCAAGAATGACAGAATGTGTCCTCTGCTGCCTGGCTACCTACTTGGAAGAACTCGCGGCCATGGACCTGAAGAAGTTCAAGCTATACCTGGGGACCACGGTCGAGCTGGGGGAGGGCAAGATCCCTTGGGGACGGATGGAGACGGCTGGCACCCTGGAAATGGCTCAGCTGCTGGTGGCCCATTATGGGTCAGGAAAGGCCTGGCTGCTGGCTCTAAGCATCTTTGAGAGGATCAACAGGAAGGACCTATGGGAGAGAGGACAGAGAGAAGACCTGGTGAGGGGTAAGGATGGGGGAGGGATGGCCAAGGCTGGTGCCCATCAATCCCCTTCTCTTCCCTGACACTCCCTGTGCCTGGGAGACCTGGGATTCCACGGTCATCCTTTCAGTCTTTGTTTATTCTGTGTTCTGCTCCAAATACCTTTCTTCTGTCACCTTTCATTTTTTCTCTTCTTGACCCCATGCTCAGAGAGTATTGGGAGGTGCTGTGGGCCGGAAGTTCATAAGCTCAGGTCGTATTTATTTTCCTGTTGCTTTATTTCATCCGTTGTGGTGGAGGATATACACAAGAGAACACACACCTATTCAACACGTTCTACATGTTACTGAAGGTCATGCTTCAACTCGACTAGGACACGATTCTCAGTGGTTTGTCCGATGTCATGCGATCCTCCTCCGTGTGCGCGCATGTGTGTGTGTGTGTGTGTGTGTGTGTGTGAGAGAGAGAGAGAGAGAGAGAGAGAGAGAGAGAGAGAGACCTAATGTAAATAGCCAGTCAGTTGAAAGGAATATTTCCTGGGAGGTGTGGTCTGCGTCCGAGATATACGGATGATCTGGGAAATCTTGCCCTCTGTTGAGCCTGCATTTGACTCATAGTTCTCTGATGAGTTCTCAGGATGTGAGCCAGCAGCTTGACAGCTTAGCCGCTGATGTTGGGTCTGCCAGCCCCTGCAACCATGAGTCCAGAGAAACCTACAAGCTGACACCTGACCCATGGGCTTAGGGCGTCCCAGTCTGCACAACTGCCTTACCCCCTTACAGCTCTTATAACAATCTATACATCAAGCATATTTGTACATATGTTGCCATCATTATTTTATAAATATTTTTTTCTATTTGAGCTCTTGGTATCAGATCCTCTTTTTTCCCCCGTCCTCCCCCATTCTCCCACCCTTGAGACCCCTTGATAAACTATATATATTATTATTAATTTCATATCTTACACTGATTGCTGTCTCCCTTCCCCATGGTTTCTGGAGTACATCTTCCGGGTTGGAGGTGGTGGGGTGGGGTGATGCATTGATCATTGTGATTGGTTCCCTCCACAAGCTTTTTAAAGCATATTTATTTGTACACATCACTGGATTCGCTCCATTTAGAGAACTAAGGTAACATTCCATGACTCAGTGGCACTGATGACTGTCTTCGAGTTGTACAACCATCCTCACCTTCCTTTCCTGAGCTGTCCCTGCCTGTGCAGAGCAACACGTGGTCCCTGTCATTGTCGTGGTGCCATGGTCTCGTAGCTCCCGCCAGATGCTCGGCAGTGGCTATGCAAATGAGGCATTTGCGGTCCACCAACTTCTGAACATTGTGGATAAGGTGCCCAGAATCCTTGCGGGGTTAGGGACCACGTCGATAAGGTCTATGGCATCCTGACAGGGGGAGGGGTCCGTGTATGCCAGCCATTGCCAAGGAAGGATGAAGGGAGACTACGACCCACGAGAGGACACAGAAATGGAGCCATTGTCCCAACACTGAGAAGCAACTAGCCGCAACGGACAGCTAGAGTTCGCTGTCACACCAGAGATCGCTTGAGACAGGGAGAAGCAGTGGCAGCAGAATCGGGAGTTGGCCCAGTGCGCTTCCTGGCCCGTGGGTGAAGTGGCTATGGTGGGTATGGGTGCACTGGCTGCCCTACGCAGCAAAAGCACAGATTGTCTTTGGGTAGGAGACTCCCAGGCAGCATGGAGTGCCTCCCAGTACTTTTGGGTGGAGCTCAAGGGCTTTGTCACGCTGACCCAAGCAGGGCCCAGATCAGTCCGAGCAGCTGTGAGCGAGGCCTGCCTGGAGACACCGCTAAAATAGAGATGGTCTGACCACAGATCTGTATCCTGAGTCATTTCTAATCTCGAAATATAACCGGTTACTTCCCTAATCAACGCCGGAACGGTGAGGGTGGCCTGTGTGTTCTGTGGCCACTGCGATGAGTTATTAAACCCAGAGAAGCAGAGTGCCATGGGAGGGACATCTGGTGTCAGAAGTGGTTGGAGGGAGGGGCCGGGTCTGACCTCTGTCTCAAAGGAGTGGGCCTGGGGTTGATCTTGGCCTTGACTCCCCTTCCCCCTTGTAAAATGAGAGGAGGTCAGGCAATGCCAACATGTCGCTCTGCAGCCCTCAGAGTTCCATCTCGTCCCTTGAATCCTTCAGAATGTTTAAAACCCTGGAGGCAGGATGAATGCCCCAAATCACTGAGCCGGCCTTTAAACCTAAAGTTAACCATATAGCTATCTAGCTCCAGAAGCCCTCTTAAAGCCCAAGAATAAGTTAGCATCATTAGTTTAAAAAAAATTGCCTTGATCACCATGGTGGTCCTTGATGAACTATCTTCAGGGAACCAAATTGAGGACAGAAACGCTGAAGAGCAGCTAAACTTCGAGGGCAGTGGATGTATGTTAGTGGGGGTTGAGCAGTCTTGGAAAAAGAGGCTGTGAACGGTTGTGTAACTGCAGAAATGTAATCGACGGCAGCCAAGGGCAGCTGTAGAAACCAGTGACTTTCCTGCAGGATCTGCTGTGTAGATTCTCAATCACAACAGTAAGGCAGGCAATTCCAGTTGTTTTGTTTTTTTCATAAAGGAAATAAAATGCATATGCTTACATAGCCGGCTCCTGCCATTCAGTCATCAGATTCAATGACTCATGCTCATAAAAGTCTTTCCTGCTCAAAATAAAATAACCCTTTCAGCCACCTTCCATCATGCAGCCTTGAAGAAAGTGAGACACAGCATTCATCGTTCTCCGAAATCATACGAGGGGTCTATTTATCAGTAGGGTGTAAGGCTCGTTGAAGCAGGGACCTCAGGCCTTACTGACTATTATGTGTTCAATGCCGAAACAATACCCAGGTCGGGCTGATGTCCACCATCGGTGTATTTGCTGGACAAATGGATGGGCGGGTGAGACATGGCCAAGAGATGAAGGTGAGAAGAAACAATGAAATCGAATTAGATCTGAAGCAGACCCTCCTGGTTGAGGGGATGCGGTGGGTGGATGGATGTACATGCTAACTCGAACCCAACCAGCAACCCCTCTCTACAGAGTCCATCTGGAGTCACAGGGACCCTGCAGGATCAAGTAGAACTGCCTCCTAGACTTTCCAAGGCTTTCATCTCCCCGCCCTCTAACTTTGGGTTGTGAATTGAGTAAAAGCTTGCAGAGCAGTTTCATTTTTCCATTCCAACCTTTCAGACACATTTTGTTTTGCCTCCTTGATGGCAGCTCCCACTTCCTCCCTCTTTCCCAACCTTTCCGAGCTTTGTGCTTGAATAAGTACTGCCCTTTATGTCTCAAAGGGTGGATGATTTGAGGGGGTGTGCAACCCCCTCGTATTCTGGTTCCCTTTTTGCACCTGTTGTTTGGCTGCAAATTGAACTCTGGGGGTGAGTTCATTTCCAGACCTGAAGGGTGGCTAGGGGCTAGAGTCTCAAGGGTTCTGCTGGGCCAGTGTTTCCCAAAGTTGGTGACACCCCCCAAGGGGGTGTGATTCTGGAAGGGTCCCTGGGGTGGGGTGGGGGTCTTGCAAAACCAGATACCTACACTTTATCCTGGATGAGGGGCTGCAGTACAGAGGTTTTTCATTGCCAAGGACACACTGAGTCATTGTCCGCAAATGGGAGCGGTAGTCCAGGTAGGTTTAGGAACCTGTGTACTAGCCTCTATCCAATTAGTAAGCCTGGTCCTTTGTAAGCTTCTGAGTTTTGTTCCACACTTTTTGTCCCACTGTGTCCGGAACTTAAGTGTGATATTATGTGATGTATGTGATATCTAATGGGATCCCTTTAAGAGCTATTGGCAGTGGTAACAAAACAAAACAATAAACTCACTGCCTTTGAGGCGATGCCGATGCATAGCGACCCTGTAAGACAGGGTAGGACTGTCCCTGTGGATTTCAGAGACTGAAACTCGCTATGGGAGTAGAAGGGCCCATCTTTCTCCCTCAGAGCAGCTGGTGGTTTTGAACAGCTCACTTCTCGAAGAGCAGGCCAATGCGGAACCACTACACCAGGTAGCCAGGCACTGAGCTGTAATGTTTCCAGAAACTGACTTCCACATCTCTCTCCTGCAGAGCAGCTGGTGGTTTCGAACTGCTCATGTTTTGGTTAGCTACCAAGCATTTAACCCCTGCTCCACCAGGGCTCCTTGCAGGTGTGATGACCATGATAACCAAATCCTTTGCTGTCAAGTGTATTCTTATTCATTACGACCTTGTCGGGCAGGGTAGAACTGCCCTGTGGTAGTTACATCATTTCATGTCAACTTGATAAATAAGTATAAGGGTCGAGTCTAGCCTGTCAATCAGGTCCCAGCCTGATGATGCCTCTCTTTGCGCATGGCCTTGTCATAAGGATTCTGGGAACTTCCTCTCTTTCTCCCTCGAAGCAGGCCACACAAACTCTCTCTCTGCTGCATCTTCTTGTTGACAAGCCGTATGGAGCCACGTGGAGACCTGAGTGAGTCATGCAGTGGAGACCTTCACCGGCGCCGGCATGCTTCCACTGGCATTGGATCCACAAGACTTTTCACCTACCGGTCTATCATCTTCCTGCATTCAGCATCTTTGCGTGTGCTGGGTGGGTCTGAAGAGGAATTTATGGACTAGTCTCAGACATATGGACTAATATCACACTTACGGACTTGATCTTGAATGGGCTGGGGCGTTTTCTCAATATACAATTGCTCTTTGATATAAAGCTCTTTCTAATATATATATGTGTGTGTATATGTATATGTATATACATATATGTGTGTGTGTGTATATATATATATTTATATCCTTGGATTGGTTTCTCTAGTCAACCTGGCCTAAAACATTCCCTGTAGGATGTCCAGGGCTGTGTATCTTTACAGAGCAGCTGAGCTCACCAGGTCTTTCTGCACCAGGGCTCCTAATTATCATGATAGGGGTCCAGGAGGAGGAGATCAGGAGATGGGAAACAGGTTGTTAGTCTGGGTTGACTAGAGAAACAACTCCAGAGACACTCATATATGTATAAGAACGAGCTTTATATCAAAGAGTAATCATACATTAAGAAAACATCCCAACCCAGTCCAATTCAAGTTCATATGTCTGATATTAGCCACTAAGTCCTCTACTAGTCCATAAATCCCTCTTTAGACTCATGCAGCACACGCAATGATGCCAAATTCAAGATTATACAAGCCGGTGGATGCAAAATCTTGTGGATCCAATGGTGGTGGAAGCATCTCAGCGCTGGCGTGGGTCTCCATGTGGCTCCTTCAGCTCTCTGAGTGTCTCAACCACAGGAAAGTGAAACAGAGAGTGTGTGGCACAACTCCACGGAAAAAGAGAGGGAATTCCTAGAATCTTCAGAAGAAGGCCACACCCACAAGACTACCCCATCAGGCTGTGACCTGATTGACAGGCTAGACTCTATCCCTATACTTATTTATCAAGTGGACATGAAATAATGTAACTGACGCACAGGTGATGAACTCAATTTTTTAACTGCATGAATGTGAGGTAACCACAGAACAGCCTGAACTTGGAGTGGACAGGGAGTTAGCATCAAAAAGATTTCATTTCTGATGAAATATCAGGTGATATTATTGCGTGTCCTGGTGACACAAAGGTTAAAGAGGTTGGCTGTTAACTGAAAGGTTGGTGGTTCAAACCCACCGGCCACTCTTTAGGAGAAAAGACGTGGCAGCCTGCTTCCATAAAAATAGACATCTTTGG